ATGCTGCTCACGCTATTGGTTCACATGTCTTTTTTTTTTTTTTTTGTAGACGATCGGTTTGCGAGCAAAATTATATGTTGTCGCAAAGGAAAACTCTTATCGGTGGTCATCGCCCCACTACTTGCCGCTTACAGGTGGAATCCCAGGAAACATGGGAAAACCCACGTCTTCCCAATTCGTACCCGATGAGGCAATAACCACAAGGAACCTTTTGACTCAAAGATGTTTCCTGCCAATTAACGGCCTTCGAGATAAATCAAACAGCCTCGTTTATGACAATTCCTTAGGATTATTGCGGTCCGCTTAATTCTATGTGCACAGCTGGAGGTCGCCTCAAACGTAAAAAGTCCCCGGACATAACACACCTACATTGTCAATTTTCATATTACTTATTTATCGGTTGTGATATCCTTATATTACGTTATAGTACCATCAAATAGACTATTTACGGGAATTGTTATGTCCTAACTTTTAAATCAAGATGAGAAATTTTTCTATTCTCTGTTACTTCTTCCCTCGTATCGGCAAATAAAGTTCCAGTTACAGAGGGTTAAGCTTTATATTGATCATAATGCTGAAGCATATTCCTATATGGGAAACGATTTGTGCTTTTATGGTCTTTTTATTTCCTCGTATGAAAGAAGTATTTCTTGCGTCGATCTTATTTCAATATTACAGCGAAGAATGTTGTTCTCCGTTTGATGAAAGTTTTGCTTTCGTCGATTATTATGGCTCATACATACTCCATACAGTATCAAACGTTTGATATCAATCAAACTGTCTGTCACGAACCTGTACAGGTATTGGATGGAATGTGCTATGCTACTCTGTTCGACAAACAATTTTATCCAACATTATCGGTGACAATTTACGATATAATTGTGGATTGGCTGCCGGAGACAATAACGCGCTATTGTTTGCCGTGGCTCTGCTAATTTATTGGAATTCTATATTTACGACGTCTTCACGGGATAATACGTAGACGCGGATGACTTCATAAATCTGTTATTCCTGAAATTTATGTTGGTGACAGCTGATTTTCTCGAGACATCTTAACGACGTTTAAAGTCAGACTTGCATTATGTTGTGGGTAGCAATGTTTAAACGAGCGTCCGTGTATTTGTCAATGGTGACAAATAGCGTTGTTCTATGCTTTCAATAGAGTGTAAATGTTCGGTGTCGATTCGTTGAAATTAATTGGATTTTAATTTTGAAAAGAAAAGACACGTCGTTCAAACAAATTGAATAATTTGCACAACGATCGAGGGATAAAACACTACGATTTTTTAAATTCCCAGCTTCTATTAAAATTTGATACGGTATCAAAACTGTGTTCAATTTTAATAACTTATCTAAATATCTTTTGTACATCGAACATCAAATTAATAACGTTAATCCGTTACTTTTAATATAAAATTATAGATGTGTTTAAAAAATACGTTAATAATACGTTAATAATACGTTAAAATACGTTAAAATACGTTAAATAATCCAATATTCGTAAAAGGCCGTGGAAAATTAAAATCAAGTATCGAGCTAATGATATTAATTCGTCGTTTCTAATTCCTAATGACAGTCGCACGTACAAATTTACAAAAATTTGCCGGATAATTCGTAAACGAGTTTACTCTAATTGCCATTTAATTCGAACGTATCTCAATTACGTTTCTGCATTGTCAAATTTTACGATTTCTCTAATAAACGCGAATTCCATCGTGCGCTCGACCGTTGAATATATCGCGCAATCAATGTCACCTATTGATAGCCAAATGAAATAGCTAAATGGGAAAGCGGAGCTCGACGTTTCATTTTACGCTAATTTAATGTCTCTAATAAAATATCAAAACTATGCGATGCTATAAAGTATGGAACATTTAGTTACACGTACGCGCATCTTATGATTCGATTTCATTTTCTCCTCTTGCGCCAAGCTCGGTATTTATATCATTAACTGATACATTGTTCAGAAAAGGATACAGTACAATTGGAAGCGTACGAAACGTTGAATTCGATTTTAAACGAAATTAATTATTGTAAGAGTAATGACGCGAGTACGACGATAGTTTGCAATCTGCGTACATGAACCAAAACAAACAAAATCTATTAGTCAGTGCATTATTACATCTCTATAATTAAATTATCGGCTTCCAAAGCATAACAATTACCCCAAACTTATCAGAATTATAAGGTCATCTCTATTTTTATTTACCAGCGCTTGCAAAAATTTATTACCATAACCCAATGAGCATAGTACATAACATCGCTAATTTTGCGTTATAATTACACCGATTATATCTTCATTTCGATATAATTGTTTGGCGATTTTTGTAATATGAAAATAGAATTTTAAAAAATTTCCTGAACACTCAAATTTAGGGTAAATATATCTACATAGCTTATTACGTATCTCCATCCGAAAATCGAATTATAATCTTATTTTAGGTATGTATAGATAAGTAGAAGATATAAAAAAGTCCTACATTTTAAAAAGTATCAGAAACTTATTGGATACAGGAAGATTTGATTAAAAGTACGTATACTAATAAAATATAGATAATCTCATAATCTTTTAACCTTTATGTATACGTACAAGCAACAAGTAAAGCTACTTTTTTATTCCGGAGAAATGATTTATCTGTTTTACGTATTCCAACTTATCCTCCGATAATCTTGGATAGAACCGTAATCAAATATTTTCAAATCTTATTCATTTAGTCGTATTAATCGTATTCAAAGAATTATTTTCTTCTGGTACAATTATAATATTTTACACAAAACAACAACAACATTTCAAATCTTCCCATAAATATATCAGAATGTGTTGCTACAATATTTAATCATGTTCTACTATGTAAAAACAAAAGACAAAAAGTAAAGCTCAATATTCAATTCCTCGCTACGTATATGTAAATACGGTGTATTATAAAATCGCTAATAATCTATACAAAGCGAACGTCATTCAACAAATTCATTGCATTTAAATAACCACCTATATGTTGGTACATCTAGAAACGAATTATCATCGTCGTTTAAAATGGTTGATCCGTTGCAATCAGAGAGATGGTAAAAAGAAGAGCGACGCGAGGATAAAAAGAGGGAAAAGAAGAGAGATTGCTTACCGGGTTTGCAGAGCCGGCTCCAGTGGTAAGGGTTGCAGCATATGTATACAGGGTCTTTAGCGGAATGACAGACAGGAAGTCTCTTGAGCTCCGACGAGTGGGCGAGATCCGGCCACCGCCAGATCTGGCAGCAGAGCAGGTGAGGATCGATCGGCGCGTTGTCGTGCGAGCCGCGTGCAAGTACTCTGCATCGATCCGGCCTTATCGGTGACGCGCACGAATCCTCCGATCCAGAGTTTTGATCGTCGTCGTTCTCCAACGACGAGGAACGATGATGTCTAGTACGATGATGTCGATGATGATAATGATGATGATGCGTAGGATGATGATAATAGTGGTGATGATGGTGGTAACGATGATGACGATAACATTGTTGCTGTTGTTGCTGTTGCTCGGAATCGTTTACGTCCTCGGAGTGCTGACGGGGCACGAG